CTGAAAGTTCTAGTCTCATTTCCCACTCTAGAAGACACCTAAGGGAGGGTGCATTGCTCAGTGACCCATCAGCCAGTTATTACCATCCTTCTTTACTCAGTTCAGTACCTGGCTCAGTCTTTCTTTCCTCAACTCATACTAGGGGATTTCAAAAAATACATTGCAACTCCCTCAAACACCTTAGCCTCATGGTTTCACAACTTACATGTTTCCGTATTAGTCATATTGTAAAAGAAGAAACAGACCAAAAGAAAAAAAAACACGAAAAAATAAAGTGGAAGAAGTATGCTTACATCGCATTCAGACTCTAGCAGTTCTTTCTCTGGAGGTGGTTAGCGTTTTTCAAAATGAGTCCTTTGGAATTGTCTTCCATCATTGTATTGCTAAGAATAACTAAGTCATTCATAGTTGATCATGGACAGTGTTGCTTTATTGTGTACTACGTTCTGCTGGTTCTGCTCACTTCACTTTGCATCAGTTCCTGTAAGTCTTTCTAGGTTTTTCTGAAATCTGCCTGCTCATCATTTCCTATAGCACAATAGTATTCCATTACATGCATATGCTACTTGTTCAGCCATTCCCCAATTGATGGGCATTCCCTCAATTTCCAATTCTTTTCCACCACAAAAAGTGCTGCTGTAAACATTTGTGTACAAGTAGGTCCTTTCCCCCTTTTTGTGATCTCTGGGATGTAGACCTAGTAGTGGTATAGCTGGACCAAAGGGTATGTGATCTGGGCATTATCCACAAATGTACTACTTCCATGTTCATGAACTCTGATTCTACCTATCCTTCTGCCTTGCACCCACAAAGCCTGTTCTTCCCCTCACATGACCTCTAAATCCTCAGCCCCTCAGTTCTTTCTCAGGTCATCATTGGTGCACTAGCTATGCTCTCCTCATGTCTCCATCTTGATCACTTGGTGAGCAAATTCAACTCTATACTTTCCACTTCTCTTAAGTACCTTGTCCATTGGTTCTATTGCCAGTCTTGTCTTGTCAGGCTTTAGCCTTGGATCCCTCTCACCTTCTATTGTTTTCCATCTTACACATATGTTATTAAACAAAGCCGAAGAAAATCACAAAACCATGCTGACTGGGTCCATTAAAAATTTATGTTACATAACCTCAACTGGGCTCTCCCTGATGCAAGACAATGACAATCTTTCTAACTTCACTAATTAACTCACTCTCTCTCTCTCTCACCACAGTGGCTCTTCCAAATCTTTTCATCGCTCCAACCCCTTCTGGTTCTCCTGCTCCCCACCCTCTCAACTGAGAACCTTGCCTCCTGTTTTACTGAAAGAATTGAGGCTGTCCACTGTGAGCTCCCTCTTCTCCCCTCCTCCTCATTTCACATTGTTCAGATGCCTGGTCTTTTCTTCCTTTGCCCATTTCACATGATAGGATGGCCCTTTTTCTAGCTGAAGCAAATCCCTCCACATGCACAAGTGATCCGGTTCCATTCTTTCTTCTCCAGCAGACTGCCTCTTCTGTCATCCCCACTCTCTTACTTACCATCAATCAATCCCTGTCAATTGGCTGCTTCCCTACTGCCTGCAAACATGCTTATGCTTCCCTCATCCTGATAAGACCGTCACTTTATCCATTCTTATTGTTCAGTCATTTCAGTCATGTCTGTGGGGTTTTCTTGGCAAAGTTACTGGAGTGGTTTACCATTTCCTTCTCCAGCTCATTTTACAGATAAGGAAACTGAGGCAAACAGGGTTAAGTGACTTGCCCAGGGTCACACAGCTAGTAAGTGAAGTCAGGCCTTCTTGACTCTAGGCCCAGTGCTCTATTCACAGCACCACCTAGCTGCCCTCACTCTATACATTTCCATACATTTCCACTAGTTTAATATCTGTTGTCCCTTTTGTGGCTACACTCCTTGAGAAGGCTGAAATGCTCTTCTTAACTCAATGGTCTGGCTTCTGACTTTATCACTCAACTTAAACTCCAAAGTTACAAATGACCTCTTCATTGCCATCTCTAATGGCCTCTTCCCAATCCTCATCCTTCTTCATCTCTCTAAAACCCGTGGTACCATCAGCTTCTTCCTCCTTGATACTTTCTTCTCTCTAAGTTTTTGGAGCACTACTCTCTCCTCATTCTCCTACCTGTCCAAACGTTCCTTCTGTCTTCTTTGCTAGATCTTCATCCAGGCCAGGCCAATTAACTGAAACTGTCTTCCAATGCCCTGTCCTGAGCTCTCTTTTCTTCTCCCTCTACCATTTTCCTTGATGCTCTCATTAGCTCCTATGGATTTAGTTATTTTTATGCTGATGATTCTCAAATTGACTCTTTTTTTTTTTAATCCCTAAGCTCTCTGCTGATCCCCAGTATTGCATCTCCAGGTGCCTCTTGGATATCTTTAACTCTGTGTCCCATAAACATCTTATACTCATTATCTAAAACTGAGCTCATTATCTTTCCCCTCAAACTCTCCTCTTCCTAACTTCCCTGTTACTATTGAGAATATCACTATTCTCCCAGATACACAGGCCCTTCATAACCTGGCCCCCTCTTACCTTTCCATTCTTATACTTCACCCCTTCCTCATCTCTCCTTTCTGGCTTCCCTGGCTTCTTTCAAGTCCCTTCTTCATGAAACCTTTATTATGGTCCCTTAATCAAACCCCCCCCCCTTAATTATAGTGCTTTCCCTCTGTTGATTGTCTCCCATTTGTCCTGTTTGTACATAATTGTTTGCATGTTCTCTCTCCTATTAAACTGTGAACTCCTGAGAGCAGGGTTTGCCTTTTACCTTTCTTCACATCCCCAGCTCTTAGCCTGACACATAGTAGGTGCTTAATCAGTGTTTATTTGACTAACCATTAAAACACTGCAAAGCCACATCAGTTTTTGCTCCCTATATCTTGATGTCCATTTTGCTCCCCCAAATTGAATTTTGATCACCTCTCACTTAGTTTAACTTAAATTAAAATTAAAATTTAACTTCTGCCAGACAGCTTTCCTAGCTCTCCCAGCAGTTTGGCATCTTGATTTTATTGAACCCTGTGTTACTGTGCTTGATTGATCCTGGGTTTCATTTATCCGATTTGTTTCACTGCTTATTTTCTATTTCTTTTTTTTTTTGGCAATTGGGGTTAAGTGACTTGCCCAGGGTCACACAGTTAGTGTCCAGTGTTTGGTCTGAGGCTGGATTTGAACTCAGGTCCTCCTGACTTCAGAGGTGGTGCTTTATCCACTGTGCCACCTAGCTGCCCCTCATTTTCTATTTCTTAACCCTTAGCTGAGGTGGTTCAAGGGGTACTGGGATTGTCCTAAGTCTCAGCTGGTTAGAAGATGAAGCCAAGTTCCACTCTTCTGTTTGCTCAGAATTTGCTGCTCTAGGAGGGCAGGCAGCTCTTGCAGGTTTGGGGTTCTAGTGGCCCTAGTTCAATATTGTTGCCATCTGGAAACCCATATTCATGGAGCTCCTTTGTCTGGGCCTGTCTACTGGGCAGTGGTACCTCTGAACCTGAAGAGCTCAGGACAATACGGTGGGATAAAGAGAGAAAACACCCCCGCAGCCCTTGTCCCCCAACCTGCTAAAGCGGTAGACAGGGAAGTGTGGGTGGAGGGGCTGAGGGGAAAAATGCACCAAATGCAGGGCCATGTGGGTTTCAAGGCTCCATCCAACCATGTAGCTCTTTCCTTTTCTCCAAGTGGTTTAACCTTGCTTCTTTGTATTTCTTTTCCTGAACTTTCCCTCAGTATTGTTGGTGAGTTGAGGAGGAGATTTGATGGTGCTCTATGATGGCAAGGAATTTTGGGAGGGGTCCCCTCCCTTGATATTTTTTAGCTGCTTAGCCTTCTTGATTGAAAACCCAATTATTATACATTAAGAATGCACACAGGGTAGCTAGGTGGTGCCGTGGAGAGAGCTTCAGCCTTGGAGTCAGGAGGACCTGAGTTCAAAACTGACCTCAGACACATGACACTTACTAGCTGTGTGACCCTGGGCAAGTCACTTAACCCCGATTACCTCACCAAAAAGCAAAAAAAAAAAAAAAAAGAAAGTGTATATACACAGTGACCCCGAAAGTGTCAAAAATTAATACTGAAAGACAGTTGAAGACAGGAATTTTAATGAGATAATGAAACACCACAACCCGTGGAGAGGTGGGGGAGTACAGGTGTGGACTTGTGCGTACAGACTATGGCCATATTGGTAGGGGGGGGAGGGTGATGGTAATGGAAAAATAAGAACAGAGCAAAAACAAAAATTAAACAAAAAAAACTTAAAAAAATGACAATAATACAGAAATACAGGAAAACCACGACGCTGGACCGAGGAAGTTGGAGAGCTCCTCAAGAGCCTCGAGCAGGGGCCCTCGGAGCATGCGCAAAAGGCTGCCCGAGGCGCAGAACTCCATTTCCCAGAAGTCCCAGCCCGGGCACCGCCAGGCAGCCGTAGGAGCTCCGTCAGGCACCTCGGAGAGCGACCGGAACAGGCGGTGCTGAGCACGGGGACTTCCGCTTCCTTCCTGTAAAGGATTCCTGGTTCCCTTTCCCCCAGCGTCGCCTCTCCTCCCCCTCCGGGGCGGGAGCCCGGCCCCTTCTCCGCCTCCATCTGTGCCGCCCGGGGAGGAGGGGAGGGGCGCCGCCGCTCCGGGCCTGGGTGTCCGCTCCCAGCCTTCCGCGTCCCCGGCGCGGGGCCCCGCACGTCCCGCTCGCCTCTGACCCTGAGCGGGTCGGGTACCTCCTCTGAGCCCGACCCCCTTCCTTTGTAGAATGATGGGGCCGGGCCTTCCAGCCCCATCCCGAGCCCCCGCGACCTCGGCCTCCTGCCCGGAGCCCCCTGCTCCAGCTTGAGCTCCCTCCTTCCCAGTCACCCGCAGCGATCTTTCTGTTTTCCAAAAGGGAAGGGGGAGGGTCCCCGTCGTCCCTGGAGCTGCCTCCCAGGTGAGTGGGGGAAAGGGAGGAGAGCGTTGGAGAGCGCCCCGCCCCCGCGTCCCCGAGTCCCCGAGCCGAGGCGGCTCCGAGCGGCGAGGCCTTCCAGGGGAAGCTTTGGTCTGCACACTTCTCCTTCCGCGGCCGAGTGCTCGGTGCCAGCCGGGCGCCGTGCAGAGGGTGAGTAAGGGTGGATGACGACGCGGTCCTAGCGTGAGGAGCAGTTATTTCTCTCTGGTATTGATGGTTGTGTTAGGACCGGGTTTTCCCCCTTTCCCCTTCCTCATCCGGAAATCCAACAGTGTGGGCATCTTAGGCCAAGACCTAAGGCAGTGAAAGAAAGAAGACGTGCGTTCCTGCTCCCTGTGTTTGCTCGGACAGATCTGGGAAGTGGGCAGCCTCCCTTTGTCGGACAGGCGGCGCGAAAGTTGGTAAGTCTCCTTTGCCAAGATTTGGGTGGCCCAAGCTATGTATTCCATGACCCTCGCTGTAATATAGCCCAGCCTCTCATTGTAATATTGTGAACTAGTCAGAGTTGATTGCCGCCCTGAGGAGCACCTACTCCTCCAAGAGCACGTAAACTGTGAGCCATCGTCACGACGGGTCTTTCTTTGGTCCAAGAACGACGGCCAAATGACCATCCTTTTATTAATAAACATGCTGACCTTATTAATAAAATGATTAAATTATCCAGGAATTATGTGTCTTGAACTTTTTAAAACACCACACTATAAAATTTTGTCGGTCACATTGTTTAGATCAGGCTAAAACTAACCGTTTAATATACTTTACTCAGGCATTTTCCAGTATTTTTTGGAATACCAAAGGAACTAAGTATTATATGAGTCCAGAGATGGATGTTAGTTGGGTTCAAACGAGCAGCAAAGGTTTCTCAAAGGTTTCTTTGAACTAGCTGGGGTTGGTAGGTTTTGATTATCTGGGAAGAAGGGAGTTATCATTTCATCTTTTGGAGCCAGTGTGGAGTCTGGACTGATTGGTGAAGGCCATTCCTGCTAAGGGATATCAAGAGGCAAATTCAGATTTGTGGAACATTTCCACTTCTGCAAAGAGCATATCGTTTACTTGGGTAATGGAAGCAAGAATACCCATCTGGAGGGAAGTATGAGAAGGCAAGTTGTAAAGTCTGTGGTGTGTTGAGAAAAGACAGTATCCTATGCAATACCATGTGCAGAAAACAAATTTCTGTGGCTTACGAAGGTAATATATGGAAAAAAAAATAGATATGGATGCTGATCGTTAGGAGACTATATCTGGGTTGATAGTGGAATTGGACCTTTGGGGAAAGAGAACAACTTATCTATGAAGTGGACTAGGGTTTAAATGAGAGACTAAGTTCATGTAGTATAGGTTAGTAAAAAAAACAGTAACATGAATTTGTAATGGGACAGGCCTTTTTGGTTTGTGTTCTTATTCTATGCTTTTTTTTCTGCCCAGGAACCAGATGGTTTAGGCAACAGTAGGAGGAACCCAGAGTTGTAACTTAATGAAATAGTTATTGTTGAAATTAAAGTAAAAGCATATATAAAGTGTAAATGTTAAACATATATAAAGTAGCAACCATGGACACCAAGTTATAGAGTAGGAGTTATTAACCTTTTTGGGGTCATAGACCCCCTTGGCTGCGACCAAAAGAGCCCTTCTCAAAACACTGTTTTGTTTGTTTATTTGTTTTAATTTGTGATTCAAGGGAATACCAAATGTCAATTACAGGGAAATGAAAATAAAGACATATTTTTTCCTATCCAAATTCATAGACCTCAGGAGATCTGCTTGTAGATTCCTCAAAATTAAAAAAAATCTTGCCATTGAAGAAATATAGTACAATCAAGAGTACACTGTTTTTTTATAGTGTGAATTGTGGGTGTCAGAGAGGGTGTCAACGTATCTGTGAGGAGGCAGAGCATGTAGAGTGAATGTTGGAGAATAACAGAATAGATCAAGAAAGAAGTTGGGCTGGAAAATGCAGCTGTCCAGTTTGAAATGTGTTAGTGTGAAGTAAAGACATGAGATGAGGTCCTGGCTGTGACCAGGCTCTGTGTGATGGCTGATTGTGGAATGGAGGTGAATCATAGGGATGTCGATGAACTGTTTGATTTTTTTAGCGCCATACTGTAATTATTGAAATTAACGAGGATGTACAGATAAAATGACAACCAGGTGCTGAAGTTATCTAGGAAGATAGGAGTGACTCTTAGGAATGGGTAGGTGATGGCAAAGGTGATGCCATTTGCAACTTACTTTCTGAGTAATTCTGCCCAAAACATGGACTCCAGGTTATTCAAGTGACCACACCTTCAGGGTGTGAAGAATGATGATTCAGGTCAAATTTCTTCTCCCTCTATGCTAGTTTACCAGCTTCCACGGATTTAAATACCATCTCTGTGCTCATGATTCCTATATCTATCTAATCTGCCCCAACCTCCCTGCTGACCTCCAGTCTTGCATCTCCAACTGCCTTTCAGACATCTCAGACTGGGTCCAGTGGACATCTTCAACTCAGTATGTCCAAAACTGAATTCATTACCCTTCCCCTTAAACACTCCCCTCCTCCCATTTTGCATATCAATATAGAGGGCAACAGCATCCTTCTAGTCCCTCAGGCTCACAGCCTGGGAGTCATCCTGGACTCTTCACTCTCTCTCACCACCCATATTCAATATGGTACCAAAGGCTGTCAATTTTACCTTTGCAACATCTCCCATCCACTTGTCTGCTCTGACACTGCCTCCGCCCTGGTGCAGATCCTCATCACCTAAAGCCTGGGCTATAGTAGCTATAGGAGGATCTTCCTGCCTGGAGTCTCTCCCCACTCCAGTCTATCCTCCATTCAGCCACTGAAGTGATTTTCCTAGAGCATAGGTCCAACCATGTCCCTTCCCTACTCAATAAACTCCATTGGCTCCCTGTCACCTCTGGGATCAAATATAAAATCTTCTGCTTTGCATTCAAAGCCTTTCGTAACTCAGCCCCCTCCTACTTTTTCAGTTACACCTTACTTCCTGTCACAGTGACCACTGGCCCCCTGGCTGTTCCACAAGCAAGACGCTCCATTTGTAGGCTCCAGATATATTATCTGGCTGTTCCCCCCTCTTCAACTCCACCCACCAACTTCCCTGGCTTCCTTTAAGTCCCAACTAAAATCCCATCTTTTACTGGAAGCCTTCCCCAACCCCTCTTAATCCTAATGCCTTTCTTCTGTTAATTATTGCCTACTTATCCTGTAGTAGAGCTTGCTTCATATATATTTGTTTGCATGTTGTCCCCCATTAGATTGTAAACTCCTTGAGAGCAGGGACTGCCTTTTTCTTCTTTTTGTATCCCCAATACTTAGCACAGTGCCTGGCATAAATGAGGTACTTAAAAATGTTTATCAGTTAATTGATTAAGCCAAGAAGCATTTATTAAGTGCTTACTGTGTGCCAGGCGCTATGCCAAGCACAAGACATACAAACACAAGCAGATTCACAGTCTCTGGCCTCAAGATAGCTTACTTTCTAATGGAGGAAGACGACACATAAAAGGAAGATGAAAAGGGGAGGAAGCAGGGGAAGCTACCTGTGGGAGGAAGGGCATGGAAGGGAATGTTCTGCAGAGATGAGTCAGGAGTGCAGCCTGGAGACAAACGAAGACCTGGTTGGTCTGGGCTTCCTCCTTGAAATGGAGGTTCTGAGAGGAACCGGCCAATTAGGAGGAGCTGGAGGGCTGGACGAGTCTACCAGGATGAGAAGTATGGGGACAGAATGAGCTTCCAGCATGAAAAGGTTTCTGTGACATGGGAGAGGAAGTCCTGGGAAGATGAGTCCTGGAGAAGAATTCTACTACCCTATTTTGTCCTTTAGTTTAAAGAAAATATGTTTTGGATATTGGGTCACAGACTACCCAAGAATGCTTATTAAGACAAAGATTGTCTTATATACTTGAAATATATATCTATATCTATCTATCTGTCTATCTATCTATCTATCTATCTATCTATCTATCTATCTATCTATATCTTATGTACTATATACTATATACCTATCCTATATACTTGACTTTCCTCTGTCAAGATTGGGATTAAGGCTGATAGCTTTCCACTTTTGGACCTCTCTGGGACAGAGTGCAAATGATACTGTGTATGAATTATCATTAACACACCAAGCCATTTTGGCATCTTGAGGAAGACTTTCTTGACCTTCATCTTTTCCTCCCCCATGTGTCAGAGCTGATACCTCCCTATTTTGTATTGATTTTTTTATCTCCTTAAGTACCTATAGCTAGTCCTTCACCATTGAATGTGAACTATCCCCATTTGCAAGAACATCTCCTAAAACTTCTTCCATGAAGAGAGCAGACTGTTTAATTTCCACGCTTGTACCCCACAATGCCGGGCATAAAGGTGCTTAATAAACGTTTGGTGATTGATTGAATATGGCCCTGCTTTGTATGACCTTACTTTCTGATAGGGTGGGAGAACAAAATGAACACAGGTAGGCAAATTCAAAATATATAAAAAGTAAAAGCAAGTTAATTGCTCCGGAGGGCCCAGGGCACCAGCCACTTGGGGTGAGCAGGTGCAGGGGAGAAAGGGAGAGGTAGAAAAGGCAGACGTAAGGAATACTTAAAACCCTGAATTGTAAAAAATATTCCCTACATAGACAACTTGTGGTCTTCCCCAAGGCCCATGTGAAAGAGGTTTCTTGGGTGAGCAGGAATTTGTTGCATGTTTCAGGAGTCAGTGATGTTCAAGGATGTGGCTGTGGAATTCACCCAGGAGGAGTGGAGGCAACTGGATCCTGCTCAGAGGAGCTTGTTCAAGGATGTGATGCTGGAGAACTACAGGAACCTGGTCTCCCTGGGTAAAGGCAGATTTCCTTTTTGACTCCAAATATTTTTCCTTAATAGTATTTTATTTTTCCCAATTACATGTTAAGATAGTTTTCATCATTAATTTTTATAAGATTTTGAATTCCAAGTTTTTCTCCCTCCCTTTCTTCCCTCCTCCTTACCCAAGACAGCAAGCAATCTGGTATAGGTTATACATGTACAATCATGTTAAACACATTTTCACATTAATTTGACTCCAAATTTGCTTACTGGGCTTCACATTCTCATTTGCTAGAGGCTGTGTGGTGTCTCCAGGGCTCAGCTCATTTCCATGGGCTCAGCTGGCGTGGTGGGCAGGGATATTCTAGAATATGTGTGATATTGGGGCTCACAGGACCCCAAATTTAGAGTTGGAAGGGATGATCCTAGAAATTATCTAATTCCTGACTCTTATTTTGTGGATGAGAAGACTGGGACCCAGAGAGACTCTGTTCAAAGCACTTTCCCATTTCTTCCCCCTGAGCAGGACTGGCTGTTAACAAACCAGGTATTATCTCCCATTTGGAGAGAGGAAGAGCACCATGGATTCCAGAGAAAGCTGTCTCAGGGGGCACCTTTCCAGGTGGGTGATTGAAAACCAGGCAGGTGGGAGTCACTGCAAGGAAGAGCTGCAGTCTTCTGGTTGTTCAGGGGCAGTGTCTTTGAAGTACTGGCTGAGGTCCATGCCTCAAAGTTTCCCGGGCTCAGGGAGAAAGCCTGCATTTAGCCAACTGGAGTGTTCTCATATACATTCACCTTTACTTCAACCAGCCGGTTTCCCCAGGATCACTGAATAGTAGATCTAGGATGGCCCTTAGATGTCATCTCCACCATCTGCTTTTATAAATTGGGCCCCTGGAGCCCTGAAACCGGAAATGAGAAAGAATCACATGATCTCAGCCCTGGAAAGGCCTTCAGAGGCCGTCTAATCCAACCCACGCTTTTATAGAACAATTAGAGAAGCAGAGGTCATTCTGTGTCCTACCTGCCAAGGGTCCAGCCTTTGCTTTCATACCTTCACTGAGGTGGAGCCCACCACCTTCAAGGCAGCCCATTCACCCCTTCCAGACAGCCCACAGTGGGGGCTGTGTTCACCAGCTCTTTGTACCTTCTGCCTGGAGCCCTGCCCTGTGGGGCCAAGCACAGTAGCTCTTCTCCAGGTTATTGTTGTTCAGTCATTTCAGGCATGTCCAGCTCTTCATGAGCCCATTTGGGGTTTTCTTGGCAAAGATACCAGAGTGGTTTGCTATTTCCTTCTCCAGCTTGTTTTACAGATGAGGAAACTGGGGCAAACAGGGTGAAGTGAGTTACCAAGGGTTACAGAGCCAGTAAGTGTCTGAGGCCTTATTTGAGCTAATGAAGGTGAGTGTTCCTGAGTCTGGGCCCGATACTCTATTCACTGCGCCACCTAGCTGCCTTCTACATGACAGCCCTTTTAATACTAGAAAACATCTGACATGTCCTCACATGAGGCTTCTCTTCTCCAGTTGAAAAATCTCCCTTTCTTTCTGCCTGCTGTCATATATCATAAACTCAAGATCCTTCCATGTCTTGGCTCCCTTGCTTTAATTAAACATCTGCCTAGTTGATTAGTGCCCTTCCTAACAGCTCAGAATTCAGCACCACTCTTGCTTCATCTTCTCAGCATGCCCTGTGTGCTTTCCCCTGTATGTATCATAGTTCCTGATATTTCTGCTCACTTTTCCATCTAGTCTTTGTAAAAGGTATCTTTTTTTCCTACTCCACTCATATCAGGAAACATTTGTTAAACATACTTTGTGTAGGCCCTGGGGATATAAAGGAAGTTATGTTTTTGTGTGGCATGCAATATTTATGCTGATAGGCAAATTTGTTATTTAAGGAGGGTGAGATCTCCATTTTCCGAATATGATGAATGTCGAAAGATGAAAGGCTTTACAAATATAGTGTCACTTGAGCTGAATCTTGAAGGAAGTTCTAGATTCCAAGAGTTGGAGATGAAGAAGGAGGTGAAACAACCCTTCATCCTTTTTTCTTATTGGAAGTGTCCTCTTGGAATAGTTAGAACCACAGACAAAACATGTTCAAGTCTGTTGGTCATTGAAGGTTGGCCTATGGAGACAGCTTTTGCTATCTATCTTTTTAACTTTTGATTAAACTTGTCTTATCTGAGAGGGGTACATTGAAATTCCCACTTGTTCTGCTTGTTCCCCGATTCGAACATTCTGTGGTTGGAATGCATTCTGTTTTACCTTTTGCCTCTTAAAATAATCCCTGGCTTCTTTGTTAGGTTAGTTTCTCTAATAACTCTGGTCGTCCGTGTTCTTAGCTCTCAAATTATATCATGTATTTTTGTTTCTGAAAATGCTCTATCCCCTCAGCAGGATGCAAGGGCTTCAGGTTTGTCACTGTGTTAACACACCTTAGCCCAGGGCCTTGCAGACAGTAGGCGCTTACAAAAACTCCTTGAGTTCTAGGAGGTGTGTTTTAATTTCCATCTCCTGGAACAACATTAGCTGCTATATTTGACTAAAGTTCAGTTGTCTTTTGAAGGTGTCTTTGTTTACATTGTTGTAATCATTGTGTATTGTTCTTTTATTTCTTCTTTTTTCACTCTTACCAGTTCATACAAGTATTTCCATGTTTTCCTGAATTTTTCTTATTTTAAATTGTAGAATAACAGAATTTTAGAGTTGAAATGAACCTTCTTCGGGTGTCACTTAGATACTAGTAATTTGATTTTCTTCTTTAAAAATCAAATAAGCTAGTGCTTTATCTATTTGATTGTTTTTTCACTTTCAGTTTTGTTTATCTCATCTTTGAGTTTTAGAATTTCCATTAGTGTTTTTTTGATTTGTTGCTTTTGTTAGGTTTTTTAAAAATATTCACACCCAATTAATTTACTCATTATTTCTCTTTTGTTGATGAATGTTTTTATAGATAAATTTCTCCCTCATGACTGCTTTGGCTTTATCCAATTATTTTATGATTTATTCTTTAGGATTTAGCCTCCAATTAATTTTTAATCCTTTCTTCAAAGGCCTCATTAATGAATATATCTTTATTCAGTTGTGGTTGGTAAAGGATATTTTGATATAAAATGTTTTTGACTTCCTCTATTTGTTTGTAAAATTTTTATGCCCTGATATGTGGTCAGTTTTCATAAAGATGCCATGTACAGCTAAGAAATATGTATAATCATGTCTCTCCTCATTCAGTAATTGCAAGAGATATCATATCCAAGTTTCCAAAATTCTGTTTAGGTTCTTTACTTTTTTGTTAGTTTACTCTTTTCTTGTTAACTTTTGGTTAAATTTATCTTATCTGAGAGGGCTACATTGAGATTCCCCAGCTATTATAATTTTATTGCCTATATTTTCCTGTGAATCAATTAACTTTTCCTTTAAGAATTTAAATAACCATTTGATGCATATATATTTAATATTGACATTGTTAATGGTACTTTTGAGCATAATGTGCTTTCCTTGTTTGTCTCTTTTAATTAAACTTATTTTTACTATTTCTTACTGATTACTACATTTGCTTTTCTTAGTTCACTTGAAACATAAGTTTTGCTCCAGCCCCTTATTTGAACTTCTTTGTGTATGGTGTAAACAATAATAGTGTTGGATTCTGCTTTGTAATCCTTTCTGCTACTTCTTCTCTGTTTTATGGATGAGTATATCCCATTCCCAGTGATTATTGTTATGTATTTCCCTCCATTTTATTATTTTATACTTTTTCCTCTCTTTGCCAGCTGTCTTACTTTTTACAGGGAAATAGAGAGTGGTGGGAGAGGAGTGTGCTCAATAGTAGAGATGTGTGTAGTTAATGTAATATGCTTCTGATCTTACCATCTCTTGACCAGTTCCTGATCACAGGTTCTTAACCTTTCATTCTTTCCTTTTATTCCTGCATTCAGTATCTACTCTCTGAAATTGGAATCTGTTTTGCTTATTCCTAACTGCCCCCTTTAAATATTCCCTCCCTTTTAATCCTTCCATCCCTCTTCCTATTCTTTTCTGATCCTCTTGAATTTAATGTATTTCTACACCAAACTGTGTGTTTGTGTGTACGTTTTCAACCCTTCTTTGTCAGATTCATGTAAAAGTAAGATTTATGTATAGCCCTTTGCCCCACTCCTCTCTCCACATTTGTATAGTTCTTCTTAAGCACCCATGTGAGATAGTTCGTTCTTTCTTCCTTCCTTCCTTCCTTCCTTCCTTCCTTCCTTCCTTCCTCTCTCTCTCTCTCTCTCTCTCTCTCTCTCTCTCTCTCTCTCTCTCTCTCTCTCTCTCTTTCTCTCTTTGTGTATTCCTTTTTTATTTCCCTTTTTTCTTTTAAGTTCATGAACATATAAGAAAACTGTTCCTGGGCCCTCTGTCTAATTTCCTGTGACCTCTAAAGATGTTAAGATAATGAGGGGACATTTGTTTCTTCTCTTACCATTGCATGATCTTTTCCAATTGCTCAAATATATTTACCTCGCTTTGTTTCTCTTGGCTTCTTTGTTTTTCGAAGTATCTACTAAACTCTGGTCTTCACTGGGAATATTCAGAAGTTCTGTTTATGCCCCCTTATCCGCACCCCAAGATTACACTCAGTTTTGCTGGGTAAGTTCTTGCTGGGATTCTTTTGCCTTTTGTAGTCATATATTCCAAGTGGTCCTCTCTTTTATAGTGGCTACTGCCAGATTTTAAGTGATCTAGATAGACTGATTCCTTAGTACTTAAATTCTTTCCTGCTTTCTGGCTGTTTGTGATGTTTTTTCTTTGATGAGAAGTCTCTAGATTTGGGCTGAGATATGACTGGGACTTTTCCTTTTGGGATTTCTTTCAGATTACTGGTGAGTCCTTTCTGTTTCCACTTTGCCCTCCTGTTCTTATAAGTCTGGGCAGTTTTCATTCATGATTTCTTGAAAATATAGTATCTAGGCTCTATGGTTGAGATTTTCAAGTAGTCTAATGATTCTTAAGTTATCTTCTTGACTTGTTTTCCCAGGTCATTTGCTCTTGGTAAGAGATACTTTACATTTTCTTATTTTTTTTCAGTCTTTTGTCTTTGTTATAATATTTCTTGTTTTCTGTTTGGTCCAATCTGATTTTTATACTTAAATAAGGTTTCACACCCACTGTACTGAACTATTTATTCTCCTTCCAGTTCTTTCTTCTAGAGCACTTATTTCCTTTCCTGTTCTTTCCTCTAAAGCTCCATTTAATTTACATTGTATTTTTTAACTGTTTCTTTCTTCTAGGAATTCCAATAAAGCTTAAGGCAAATCTGTGTTTTTTGAGACTTTGCTGTGAGTAATTTGGGTTCGTGTCTTAGGTGTCCCCGGCTCCATAATATTTCTTTCGCGTTCTTGTTTTCTTTTGCTTACTAATTTTTCCAGCCTTACTGAATTGGGACTTTATGTCTGGGGTTGACTCTTTGTACTCTAGGAAGAATGCTTGGGCTTTTGCCCTGATTAGTGTTGTGTGGAAACTGTGTAATGAGTGCTATGTTTTTCAAGGACCTCGGGGGTGGCTCAGGCCAGTATGCTGTGTTGACATCACATCGTCCAGGGGGCCCCTTGACTGTTTTTCTGGTGAACATTCTATAGGCTCACAAACCCCTGGCTAGACCCTGGCCTAGGCTTCTGTTTTCCCACTGTTGATCATCCTTTTTGATGGTAGAAATAGAATCTAGGCCATTGTAAAGCAGCTTCTTTTTTCCTAATACAGAGAATCCCACATATGTTCACTTTATTCTTTCTTTCAGGGTGGCTTAGTCCAGATACGGGGTGTAAAACAACAAAGTCAGCTCCAAATCATGACCCTTCTTTAGGAGAGACAACCAAGAAAAGACTCGAAAGGGAAGGTCCCTGGGATTTTAGGTTTGCAGAAGCCTGAGGATATGATGTGAGCTTAGAGCATTAACAGAATGGCAAGCGTGAAAAACAATCCCAGCAGGTAAAAATCGCCCACAGGAAAAATGCACTTGGAAAAGGCCTTGATCTGGAGTCAATCCAGGTTCCAAAAAACAAAGTCCACATGGGGAAAAGTTTGCACCAATGTGACACACCTATCTAAAGAACTTCAGACGGTGTTCAGACAAGCATGGAATTTTTACTAAGAAAATACTTTGTAATTATCATAATTACAGAAAGTCATTTGGTTGCTATTCAGATCTTATTCAACATCGAAAGAAAAATGCCAAAGAAAAATTACATCTATGTGAAGAAGTGTTTAGCAGTAGGTCATCTCTTAAAAATCAACCCATAATTCATGCTGCACAGAAACCCTTTCAGTGTAATGAATATGGAAAATCCTTTAGCTGGCCTGGAGATCTAAGTGAACCTAAGAGAATTCACACTGGAGAGAAGTCCTGTGAATATAGTGAGTATAGGAAGACCTTTAGTTGGTGTGGAGATGGAGACTTTATTAAGCATAAGAGAATTCAAACTGGAGAGAACCCCTTTGAATGTAATGAATGTGGGAAATCTTTTAAGTGGCGTGGAGACCTTAATAAACATAGGAGGATTCATACTGGGGAGAAACCCTTTGAATGTAATGAATGTGGGAAATCCTTTAAACAGCCTGGACACCTTTCTGGACATAAGAGACTTCACACTGAAAAGAAACCCTTTGAATGTAATGAATGTGGGAAATCCTTTAGGTGCTCTGGATGCCTTAGTAAACATAAGAGAATTCGTAATAGTGAGAAACCTTTTGAATGTAGTGAATGTGGGAAATCCTTTCAACAGAATAGTTGTCTTATTGTACATAAGAAAATTCATACTGGAGGAAAACCCTTTGAATGTAGTGAGTATGGGAAATCCTTTAGAAGGTATATAAAGCTTACTGCCCATACCCATAGGAGAATTCATACTGGAGAGAAACCCTTTGAATGTAGTGTATGTGGGAAATCCTTTAGATGGAGTGGAGACCTTACTGCTCACAAAAGAATTCATACTGGAGAGAAACCCTTGGAATGTAATGAATGTGGGAAGTTCTTTAGTAAGTGTGGAATTCTTACTACCCATAAAAGATTTCATACTGGAGTAAAACCTTTTGAATGTAGTGAATGTGGGAAATCCTTTCAACAGAATAGTTGTCTTACTGTACATAAAAGACTTCATACTGGAGTAAAACCCTTTGAATGTACTGAATGTGGAAAATCCTTTTGGTGGCGTGGAGGTCTTACTAAACACGTGAGAACTCATAATGGTGAGAAACCTTTTAAATGTAAGGATTGTGGGAAATACTTTCAACAGAATGGTCATCTCACTCTACACAAGAGAATTCATACTGGGAAGAAGCCCTTGTAATATAAACAATGTTAGGAATCCTTTCATCAAACAGAAGCCTTACTTAGGCATAAGACAATTCAGCTGAGAGAGAAACCCTTTGGGTGTGATGGTTATGGGGAATCCTTTAGATCAAACAAGAAATTTCGTGAGGAAGGGAAATCCTTTGTGTGAAGTGACTTGATAAATCCTTGAATCAGAATGGAAATCTTAACTGACCATAAGAAAAATTCATACTAAAGAGAAACCTTTTGAATGTATTGAATGTGAAAAAAATGAAGGAGTTGGGTTAGATCTTGAATGTCTAATCTGTATCAGAGACATTTGCTGCACAGATTCCCCCTGCAGTGAATTGCTTCCCTCCTAATTCTAACTTTTTTGACTTTGTGTGAACAACATTGCACAATCAAAATCATCCATTCTGTCTTTTGTGATCGTCCCTATCCAGAATCAGGAAATCTGAGATCTGAGACCTCAGTAGCCATCTGGTCCCAATCATCCATCAAAGAAATCCCTATTACGACATTTCTAGCAAGTTGTTTTCCAGCTGCTCTCGAGTACCTCTAAGGAGGGTGTACTTCTTTAGACAGGATATTCCACTTTTGGTTAGATATAATTATTGGGATGTTTTTCTTGACGCCAAACCCAGATTGGCCTCTGCAACTGAATCTGCTCTCTAGGGCTAAATAAAATATCCCTCCTCCATGGGGCCTTAAAGAACTCCATGAGAGCCTTGAGATACTCAGGCAGGTATTATGTTCTCCCCGAGCCTTCAGCCAGGCTAAACATGCCAGTTCTTTCAAGCAATCCTCGTACTGTGGACTCGAGGCCCTTCACCATTCTGGTTGCCTGTCCCTGGACGCTCCAGTTTTTTAGTATCCTTAAATCCTGCTTCCCAGAAATGAACAAGAGATTCTAAATGTGGTCTGACCAGGTCAGAGTGCAAAGGGGCTATCAGTGTACCGTTCCTGGAAGCTCTCTAGTCCAATATTTCATTAACTTTTTTGGCTGCCACGTCTTCCTGCTAACTCTTATTAAGCTTGCATTACACTAAAACCCCTAGATCTTTTTCAAAACAGCTGCTGTATACCCACGGTTCCTCTATCTTATACATCTTAAGTTGATTTTTTTTTTGTACTAAATTTCAAGGCTTCATATTTCTCCCAGCTGGATTTAATCTCACTTAGCTCTAGCCTGGCAAGTTCCTTTTGGACCCTGATGAGCTTACCAGTTATACCTTTATCCAAGACGTTGGTTGATCACAATTTTAGTACAGACTTCTTGTCTCAAGTTGTTAAAGGGATCGCCTTTCTTGTTCCAGTTAATTTATAATATAACACCTTTTATATGCAGACCTGGTGGGTGTCTGAAGCTTCTTTTGGCGTGTGATATGAAGCAATGGTCAAGATCTAACATCTACCAGACAGTTTTTACTTTATCCAGTACTTTTAGTTGAAAAAGATTCTGTTTATTCCAATAATGGTGTCCTTGGGTTTACTGAACACTTTGTTGCTGTTTGATTGTTCCTGAAATTTAATTACCTAATTTATTCCACTGATTTACTTTTCTTTTTGGTAACCAGCACCAAATAGGTTTTAATGTTTACTGTTTCGTAGTATAGTTTGAATATTACATAAGTACATGGAATGAAATTTTATTTCCTGCTTCTCCCATTTATTTTCTTCCTCTATTAATTTCAATTTATTTACTAATTACTATAAATCTGTAGTTTTGCCTGAATTTTTTCATTAGTTATATTTTGGTAGTAGTGTATTGAGGCCTCCTAACTATCTTGATTATATTTCTCTTTCTCTTTTCTGAACTTAACTGATGAATGGTTGATAAATACAAATTGGGAATTATTAGACATTTGTTACTTTTCTTTGGTTTTCACTGTTATTTTTGCTCTAGTTTATCTCTCAGTATTTTCTAACTTTATTCCACTATCAAAATACCATTATTGGCACCCATGCTCCTTTTTTCCCCCTTGAAGTTGTAAGATATATTTTAGACTAACATCTTCATTTTAGATTTTACTATTTTGCGTTTGAAGTGTTTGCTTCAGTAAAGTTATTATCCCGTTTATTGGCATTCTTTCTATCCCATCCAGCAGTACATTGATTTTGGTTTCTGGAAGATGTGTATCTCTTAAGGCCCCTTTTGTTGACATTCTTTGTGGAGTTAAACATTTCATTTGACTTGCCATTTGTTTTGATGTTCTGGGGTAATAGTAGTAAATGTCCCATTTTTCCTGATATTCTGTGCCTGGTTTCACTCAGAGATGGGAGAAAAGTTACCCACTCCCTGTGTTTGGTAGGGAGATAAAGGAAGTAGAGGGTCCCACTAGCTTGGAGGTGAAGCAGAAAGTGGCTTCATTTCGAGAGTGGAGGAGAGGAAGCAGGCAGGACTTCCAGAAGGGTGTCTCAGCTCCCTTGCAGTCTTCTGGAGTCTGGTTCTGTCTCAGCCTCAGCTCTTTCCCCCTTGGTCTGCACGGAAGCTCTGTGTTCTGTGCCTGCGAACATGGAGGGGAAAGGGGGAGGTTGGAGTCTAAGCCAGCTTGGGTGGTGGGAGATAAGGGGTTAGAATCACTAATAACCATAGCTGAAGCGGGATGGAGGTGGGGGATGCTGGCACTTCTTTGGGCCTCTGCTAAAGCCCTTTGCTGGGTATGGAAGCCCATACAAAAGGGGCTTCTCTGGCTGGGCTTGTCTGTTGAACAGTCATGCCTCTGAATGTGAAGTGCTTAGGAAGCAAGGGACAGGAGGACAGACCCTCAGCACTTCCTGCCCCACAACTTGATAAATACAGCAAGAAGAGAGAGAAGCATGGAGGTGCTTCTTCTTGGCAGGGCCCTTAGCCGGCTGACTTTCTAACCTGGCCTCTTTTTATTTCTCTTACTGCTTTCTCCCTCACTACACTTGCTGAGAAGTCACGGGGATTCAGTGGTGTTTCATGCTTGACGAAGTTTCGGGAGGCACTGCCTTCTCTGGCTTTTCTTTGCCATCTTGATTGAAACCCTTACCGATTGTTTATTAAGAGGATTTGTTGTTGGGTCTTTTTTTCTGTTGTGTCCGACTCTTTGTGACCCCATTGGGGGTTTTCTTGGCAAAGATATTGGAGTGGTCAGCTATTTCCTTTTCCAGCTCATTTTACAGATAGCGTGAAGTGACTGGCCTACGGTCACAGCTAGGAAGTCTGAGGCCAGATCTGAACTCAGGAAGACAGGTCTTTCCCCCTCCAGGCCTGGGCACTAACCTCGTGCCACCCAGCCGCCCTGATTAAGGGAACGCACTCAGAGGAACGACTACTGTGTACTCTATTGCGGACATACACTGCAACTAAAAGGCAGTGGGAGACAGGAATTGTAATGAAAGAATGGAACGTGTGTGTGGCGGGGGTGGGGAGTGGGTGTGTGTGGAGCGGGGGCCATGGTACGGGGGCAGTGACAGCCGGGGACGTTGGCCCCCTCCGCCTGGCTTTTCCTGGGGTACGTGACAGCCCAGAGCCGGCGCCCTCGGAGCATGCGCACAAGGCTCCCCTCGGCGCAGAACTCCATTTCCCAGAAGTCCAAGCTAAGCGACTTTAGGACCTCTTTCAGGCATCTTGGAGAGCGACCAGAACAGGCAGCTCTGACCTCGGGGGCCTTCCTCTTCCTTCCATGTGTTCTCTGCTGCTGCCTGGTGATGGTCTCCAGCTCCCTCTTCCAGCGCCCCTCCCCTCTCCCCTCCCCAAGCATCGCCTCTCCTCCCCTGGGCCCCACCCTCCTATTCCTCCTCCTCTCCCCTCCCACCTCTCTCGCCTCCCCTCCTCTCTCCTACTCCCCCTCTCCTCTCCCTCTTCGTCCTCCACCTCTCTCTCACTCTTCTCCCTCTTTCTCCTCCTTACAGGAAGGCTTTCCCAATCTCTCTTAGTTCTATTGCCCTTCCCTCTATTAATTATTTCCTATCTATCCTGTATATAGCTTACTTTGTATGTATTTGATTGCTTATTGTCTCACCCATTAGAGTGTGAGCTCCTTAGCAATTTGGAACTATGCCCAAAGGGTTATAAAACTGTTTACCCTTTGACCCAGCAATACCACTACTAGGTCTTTATCCCAAAGAAGTTAAAAAAAAAAAGAAGAAAGAAAAGGACCTCTATATACGAAAATAGTCATAGCAGCTCTTTTAGTGTGTCCAAGAATTGGAAATTGAGGGGATGCCCATCAATGGGGGAATGGCTGAACAAGTTGTGGTATATGAATGTGATGGAATGCTATTGTGCTATAAGAAATAATGAGCAGTTTTTTTTTCTTCTGCTGTGTTTTGTTCCCTCTTTCTGGTGGTTCCTTCTATTGGTTCTAAGTCTTACAACATCACTAATGTGAAAATATGTTTAATAGGAATGTATACGTATGTGTGATATATATATGTGCAGAATGTGTGCCGTGTTGGGGAGGGAGGTGGGAGGGAGGGGGAGAAAAATTTAAAACTCAAAAGCTTATGGAAGTGATTGTTGATGAAGCAAAATAAATTAACAAAAAGTGGGGGAAAAAAAGAAATAATGAGCAAGATACTTTCACAAAAACCTAGGAAGACTTAAAAGAACTGATGCAAAGTGAAGTGAGCAGAACCAGGAGAACATTGTACACAGTAATAGCAATATTGTATGATGATCAACTGTGAATGACTTAGCTATTCTCAGCAATACAATGATCCAAGACAATTCTGAAAGACATGTGATGAAAAATGCTATCTTCCTCCAAAGAAAGAACTGATGGAGTCTGAATGCAGATTAAAGCATACTTTTTTTAACTTTATTTTTCTTGGGGTTCTTTGTTTTCTTTTGCAACATGGCTAATATGGAAATATGTTTTGCATAACTGCATATATATGCATAATATATATCAAATCATTTGCCTTCTCTGCAAGGGGGTGGGGAAGGGAGGGAGAGAGTTTAGAACTCAAATTTTTTTAAATATAAAAAATTGCTGTTACATGTAAATGAAAAAATAAAATATAAACATTTTCACTTAAAAAAAA